GCACCGGCTTACTCAGCGTCGAGTCTTGCGCCCCTCTGCCTGGAGCGCCTTGGCTGTGGCTTGGACACCCGCCCACCTGGAAGCCGCGCCCGCCACCTCGTCCCGAGATCCAGCCCGCAGGGGAGGGAAGGCGGCCCTGCGGACCAACGAGAGGAGAACGGGTTCAGAGGGAGCCGAGCGGGCAGAGGCCGGAGGGGAGGGAGGGCCGGATCAGTCCCTGCTGGTTGCGCGTGTGGATGCGTGGCATCTCCAAGCGTGGGATCCTGCGACTGGAGGGAAGAGGAGCAGCCGAGTTGCAAAGGAGCAAGAACATAACGGGAGGGGAGGGGCAAATATAAAACATACATATTTGCTTGCCTTGCTTGCCCTGTCTTTGAGTTTTGTGTCTGCTGGGGAGAGGTGGCAGGAAGATGACATGGATGTGCGTCCGTGAAGTTGGCAGGAGTCGAGCTCGACTCGCAAAAGGGCCCCCTTCCCTTTAGGAATCTGACGGGGGAGGGCGTAACGTCATTGTCAGCCGCCCGGAGTCACCGTGAATTGGGCGGCCATATAAATTGCTTAAATAAATAAATAAAATAAAATAAAATAGATAAATAAGAGAGCAGTAGAAGTGGTTCTTGGCTAAGGGCGCCGATGCCTCGAACGCGCGGTGGGTAAGGTAGAATCGGCACACCCTCTCGGACATACGCAGACAATTGCAGAGACAGAGAACACCCTCCTCTTGGGGAGGGTGCCAGCTCCGTTGCTCTCCGCCGAGAGTAAAAGAGCACCCAACGGTGGCGCATCCGAACTTTCTCCCGTACAGAGTTGACATTTCTCACTCAGGCCAGTGGCTGCAGAAGGAGCGAGCAACAGATGAGGGTATTTGGAAAGTGGAATGCTTCACTCCTTTCGTGGTCTGCTTTATTAGCTATTGCTTCCATGAAAGTTGGGCTTTACTCTCAGAAGTCTTTGATCTAACTTGGCATGGTGCAGTTATTTACATTGGGAGAACTGGAGTGGAGTTCACTTTTCAGAACAATCATTCTGCTGCAGAAGAAAGAAGGGTTAACAATATTTTTATTGCAATTTGTATACTTCAGTTGCAAATGTTTGTTCCAAAGGATATTAACTATTCTTCAGAAATACCAGATCTTTTATTTGTGTGTTAGATTTATATCCTGCTGTTTCTCTAAAAGTTCAAAGCGCCTTACAAAGAAATCTCCAGTTTATCTACTGAGCAACAAACCTGTGAGGAGGATTAGGCTGAGAGAGAGGAACTGTCTCTAAGACACCCAATAAGCTTCCAGGTCTGGGGGTTGGTCCCCCAGTCCTAGTTCAACACCTTAACAATCACACTATACTGAATCATAGTGACATCCCAAACTGAAATATGACAATCATGTTGAATAATTAAAATTTGACTGTATAGCATTTCAAATCAGTCTAAGTGGAGGAGGAGAACGTATTTTGTAGATTCTGTTTTCAGCTTAAATACTTTGAAACTAGATGACGTATCAGCTTTGAAGATAAGGGAAATACCACTCTTAAAACCAAAAGGCAATGTGAATGTAATCTCAATTATGTGTTCTAATCATTATTTGGACCTTCAAAGACACATTTCTGTGCACTGAACTTTGGTTCCTTGATCAGTTAAGAATGCCTCACTGTAGAAGGGCAATGATGAGATGAGAAATAAATTTGCACAAGAATGATAAAACTAATCTCCTTGGTTCAGGGGCCTTTAGAGTACAAATGGAATGAGTCATACCAAAGTAATAAAAAAAGATTAGTACATTCTATTTAGGTGAAAATTATAGGATTCATTTTTAGAACATTTGTCTATATATCAATTCTTGGTGAAAGTAATTCAACATGGAATCTCCACTTACAGCTCACTGTCACATTTTGGGCACAATGAAAAGGCAGTGATAACCTCCCATTTGTCCTGTTTGTGAACTTCCCACGTCCATCTATAGGAAAGGAAGAGAGATCCTTTGGTCTGAACCCTCAAGACAGCTCTTACATTCTGAAGCTCTGACATTTCTAAAGCAACAAAGCAGTTCCTAATTATACATTTCAACCTGTGAACATTGGAAGACATCAGTATCAGCCTATCTTAAGTTGTTGACAAAGTCATATTCTGTTGAAGCTACAGCACATTGCCTATGGCATCTTCTCCCAGTCTAGTGCTCTAATTTCCAGCCAATACAACTGAAGTGTGGCTGATTAGGGAAGGAGAGCTAACGGTTGGGACTCAAGCATTCTTCCCCCACTTGACACGGCCACGCCTGTGGGCAAATCCATACCAGCTGCCTGGGAAAACTGATCCAAACTATCTGAAAGCAAAACTCTGCTTGTAGGGCACTCTGCTGGAGGAAGAGATTTCTTGTCGACTTGCCCTTTTTTCTAGATTCCCAGATGCCTGCCCTTGGGGATTTGTTGCCCACTCTTGACATTTTCAGAGAAGCATTTCTCTGCACCATTGGATGGCATTTTCATCAGTCTGTTTTCCGATTCTATTATTACGGAAGACCAGTTGGCTGAATGAGTCATAAAGGGTGCTATAATGCCAACAGATAATTAGCCTGTGGGGGCACAAAAGCTGCCCTTTTCTTAATCCCACTAGCTCCCACTAGGACAGGCTAGCTGTGATAAAGAACCGGTAAAAGGCCATGAGAATCAGGGCAAAGGACAGAAACCATTGGAAGAGGATTCCCCAATTAAGTTGAACACCAGCCACATTGCTTCTGACCACATTTTTCTGTTTGTGTATCACTTCATTTGCCTGGTGAAAAATTTTGAAGCTACTTTATAAACTTGACTTGGCCTAGAAAAGGAAGTGGTCTTCTATTGCCTACTGCTAGGATGCTTGGCTTGGTTTCACAGCCCTAGAATTCCCAAGTATTACCCAGGGCTGACCAGTTTAGCATCTGAGTCCTGAACAAGGGCATCCAGATGCTCTCACCTGCTGAATCCATATCTCACCGTATCAGATTAAAGCTGCCAGTAAAGGAATCCAAATTCTGCTTCCAACAGTGGCTAGAATTTTAAGTTTCAGAAGTGGTTACAAGCCAGAGGGAACATAAAATATATCAGGGTCTATCCCCTTGACATCCTGGGCAAACTCTTCCACTCATACATGCCCCATCTATTCATACTATATATTTACGTTTAAGGTTGTAGTATCTTTCTAAAGCCATAATCAAAATCCCTTAATATTGGTTACTTACCCCTTGAGTAAGATGGATAAACATCAGTCAGTTGGACACTTTTTTCCCAGCTCTGCCAAATATTGTTTCCAATAAATGGAAATTCTAACCCACATTAATGGTTGCAAATATGAAAACCAGACTGTGGTGTAGTTAATCCATGTTAATGAACCTGAAACAAGCAGTTCAACTTTTGTGTGTTTGTCTGGTATCCATATTTCAGTAATACATCTGTAAATTAATCACATGTTGGGATAGGATTATGAATCCCTATAAACAATAGTTTGCAAAACCAGAAATGGAATTACATAGTATGCTAACCTACAAAACGTAGTTTACATACAATAATGGCTAGATACTAAACCACTTTGTGGCTTAGAATGATATAGGAACCCTTGACCCAAAGTCTGGCAATGTGGTAGGCTGAGGTGCCCACTGGAGCATGTGTCTATCGAAGTTCTGCCCCTTTTATTACGTATCACATTTATTTTTATTTATTATTAGATTTAAATCCTACCTTTATTTTGAACTACTCAAGGCAGCATATATAGCTAATGCTCCTTCTTTCTATTTTCCCCACAACAGTCCTGTAAGATGGCTTGGGCTGAGAAAGAGTGACAGGCCCAAAGTCGCCCATCAGGCTTTCATGTCTAAGGGAAGACTAGAAAGCTGAGTCTCTTAGTTTCTAGTCCAGCACTTTACTCCACTAGACTGGCTCTCTCTCTCTCACGTGTGGCCCAAGTTAAAGGGCAGGGCTTTGATCACACAGCCACAGCCACCATCTTGATTTTTTTTAATGCCGCCACCTGCGGATGTGCTCGATGGGAAGCAAATTAATAATTAGTTAAATATAAATTGATGTAAACTAACTATGTGAGCTTGCTCACCGAGGAAGAAGCCTCACTACAACAGGGGCGTATAACATGCCAGACAAACATGTGCATGGACCTGGCCGCTGAGGTTTCAGAATTATGGGTTTGGGCTTTGTGAGATGCATAACCCAGCCAATTTTGGCTTATTTAATAAACCATGGCTCAGTCCAATATATGAACCAGGTCTTATCAAGAACAACACGGAAATGTCACAGGGAAACTGGTTATTTATTGAAAACCATTCTTATCATCCTCAGGCAGAAAAAAAGGGTCTAATTAGTACATAATCACGTCAATGTTAAGATAAATGGACAGATGCTTTGTCAGATAAATGAACCCACAGCTCTTTACACTGTACGCTGTTCTTCAAACTGGGAAATCAGTGATGCTCATGTAGCGTAAGGGAATCTCATTCTGGTCGAAGAAGGCAACATACACATTTTATCTGCCATAATTTCCACCCAGCAATGATGCCTAGACAGCATTACTATTCCTGCTCCCTCTCTCCTTAGACCCAGAGCTACATAGCTCTTCCTGGCTACCAGGCTTAACGCTGTGCCTCCTCAGCAGTTAATCTGCCAAGTATCAGAACCACAATTGAGGCCCGGGAAATTAAGTTAGAGTGGGTGGCATATGGCAGATGTAGAGATTCAGTGTTACCATA